AGTTTGTTAAGTATTTAACCCACAGGTTCTACACCTTTTTAAAGACTTTCATTCTATCATTCAGGATTGCTGATAACCGCCCATTTATCATTATCCCCGGAAAGTATGTGTTTGAGCTGGTCAAAAGGTATGATTGCTGACTTCCAGTTTCTGGGAATAGTAATTTTTGCCGAGAGAAATATGAAGGCAATAAGTCTTCTTTGATGTTTAGAGGCTTCCTCCACCTTGCATCCCAGTACGGCATGCTTCGGAGACTTGGTCAGGTTTACTTGGGTGAGGGTGTATTTGAAGTTATACACTCTAATCCAAAAGTGCCTCAGTTTGGGACATCTCCACCATATGTGGTATGATGTACCTTCGTGGCCACAACCTCTGAAGCATAAGGGAGACACACCCAGGACATAGGTGGCCAATCTAGCTGGTATCATATACCACCTAAGTAGCACTTTATAATTGACTTCAATGATGGAAGTATTCATGATAGACCTTGAGGCCCCTTGGGCTAATAAGTGCCATTTGTCCAGATGGAGATCCGTTCCCCATTTCTTCATGCAGCCTAGTTTAACCATAGCAACAGTTAAAATAGCATACATTGCTGAGATATGACCCCAAATTTTATCATTTCTATGACTTAAATGGATCATGGTGCAAATGTTGAAAAAACCCAAACCAGAAAAACTACTGGGGCTTTAAAGGTACCAAACCATATCAATAAAGGTAAATTGAACAAATATAGGAACAGTAGATAAAACTGAACACCTTTTATTAGGTTAAAAAACCACCCATAGGTTTAGCATATTCATCAGACATAGACATAGAGAACCATAAAAATAAAATACAGGAAGACCCGGTCATAGTAAATTGTTACTGATGTCCTAAATGCAGACGGCGTCACGGGCATCAGCCGCAAAAAATAGCAGCCATAGCCTTAGAGCAAATAGGCTAAACTGTACAAGTAGTGCATAAGATGGTACATGCCTATCAATGGAAATAGATAATTGTATTAATGTTGATATAGGACATTAACCAGATAGTATCATAGGTGTTGATGAATGAATAAACATGTAGTTTCCACTTGAAACCATGAAAAGGTACTTTGTTTTGGAATTCGTATTTCGTGGGACAGAGCCCACTTCTTCAGGGAACAAAACATAAATTCCAGTTGATGATACCAGCACAATCTCAGATAGCTCCTGCAAGATATGTGTCAATCATATCTGGGTAGACAGAGGGGGGCCTCCAACAACCATAAATAATGATCATCGATCAAGAAAGAAGTCCACTTGAAGACTTGTAAAAAACAGAGTTGTCATTCATTCAATCAATCTATTGGCCAAATGCTACAGACCACCAAGTATAGTAGGGCTCAGATTACTTTCCATCAGTTGAGAAAAGTTTCTTATCGAAGGAGGGGGAGGGAGAAACCTCAAACCCTCTTCCCCCTGTGTAATTTTATGGTCCTCTATGTCTATGTCTGATGAATATGCTCCACCTATGGGTGGTTTTTTAACCTAATAAAAAAGTGTTCAGTTTTATCTACTGTTCCTTTATTTGTTCAATGTACCTTTATTGATATGGTGTGGTACCTTTAAAGCCCCATTAGTTTTTCTGGTTTGGGTTTTTTTCAACATATTTTCCTTAGGGGTGTGGTACCAGTAAAACCGTAGGTTACAAGGTCAGGGAGAGTCACTTTCTCCCTATCTCCCACTCCTTCAATATTTAGTTTCATGGAAGACATGGATGCAATATCAAATCTGCGAGACAAAGCTTTTAAACCATGCGATATCTGAGCATATCTATAACGTTCAGATTCTGGCATATGGTACTTCTCTATTTAAGTTTGTTTCGACAGACTTCCTCTATGATCACAGAGATCAGCTATACGCAAAAGACCCTTGTTAGTCCATCAATCAAATGTATTGGGTGTTAGACTTGGGGTGAACTCTTTATTGTGAAGTATAGGGACTAGTGGACTGTGAGAGGACATAAATGTATAGGGCCTGGAAAGTCTATCCCAAATTCTCAGGGCAAGGGAAAGAGGACATAAGACTGGAGGCCATTCCTTTGCAGATAGCTACAAAACGTGAGAAATTGGCCTAGATAAACAGGAACAGGATTCCATTGCCATCCATAATGGATGGGGTTTATGAGAGTGAAATTTAATTAACCGAGCATCATAAAAGTATTTAAGTAAATCCGGAACCCCCAGTCCACCTCTCTGTTTTCGAAGTAAATAGAGTAAGCTTGTTCACACTAGGCCTCTTATCTTCCCAGACAAACAATATTAATTTTCTTTGAAAAGCCAACAAATCAGATCAAACAAGTGCTGCTGGCTGGTAAAACGAGAAATAAATATAACAGGCATGGAAGGATATTAATTTTCAGTGAATGTAGTCTGCCAAGTCATGACGCTTGGTGAAGCTGCCACTTGGCCATATCAGCAGTAAGCTGTTTGTATAGTGAAGGATAATTTCGAGAATACAGATTGTGCAGAGTAGGCGTCAAATTGATCCTCAAATACAGGAGGGCCTCAGACTGCCAATGAAAACCATATGATGTTTTTAGACATTCTACAATATTGTCGAACAATGTTCTATGCTTGTGATTTATCTTGGTTTATTTTGAGGGCAGAAATTTTAGAAAAGGGTTGGAGGATGGCATAGAGGTTAGGAAGGAGCAGTGACAGGTGATGACAGCAACAACAAAAGGTTTCCACAAAAAGGGCACATTTGTGCTCTCTGTCTCCACAGGGAATCCCCTTGATATCTACACAATTGTGGATTTTGACAGCCAATGGTTCCAAGGCCAGTGCAAAGAGTTAAAAAAATGTTTTAAAATGTTTGGTCTTTTTTTATTTATAGCACAAAAAATAAAAACCCAGTGATGATCAAATACTACCAAAAGAAAGCTCTATTTGTGTGAAAAAAATGATATAAATGTATTTGTGTACAGTGTTGTGCAATTGTCAGTTAAAGTAGCGCAGTGCTGTATAGCAAAAACTGGCCTGGTCATGAAGGGGGGGGGGGGGGTAAATCTCCCAAAGGGCAAGTGGTTGAAGAGGCCAAAAACAAAGATATATTTATATTTGAAAAAATCAATCAATACTGATGGCCTATCTCATTTCTTGAGGCCCTAAAATGCCAGGGCAGTACAAAAATGACCACTTTTTGGAAAGTAGACAGGCCAAGAAATTGTGTAAGAGGCATGGCAAGTTTTTTGAAGCTGCATTTTTTTGTCCAAATTTTTTGGAAAATTAAGAAATTAAATAATATTTTTTATTACATACTGTCACCAGTGCAGTACAGCAGCATGACTAGTGTGGCGGTGACCTGGGATACTGACTGGTGACAGTATGTAAAAAAAACAATAATCAATTTTTAATTAAATGTTTTAAAACTTTAATTTCTTTTTTTAACATTTGCTTTTCTTTTTTTTTACTACCACAGTTACTACCTTTTGTACCACTAGCCCCTCCCTCTTAGATTGTAAGCTCCAAGGAGCAGGGCCCTCCTATCCCTCTTGTATTGAACTGTATTGTTGTTGTATTGTCTCCTGTTATATTGTAAAGTGCTGAGCAAACTGTTGGCGCTATATAAATCCTGTATAATAATAATAATAATATTATTTTTTTTTTACATGCTTTCATCAGAGGAGTTCAGTGTCATCATAGTGCCACTGTACTACTCTGGGGGGAAGGGTGATCAGTAATTTTTTTTTCCACACCATGATTGTTATTACAGTGATTATCATTGTAAGAGCAATCATTTGAACTGTTATGAATGGATTCCATTCATAACAGCTGTGCTTATTGTTGACATGCTTTGATTGGCCACATGGTACATTGTGCTGGGATTGGCCCAGGTACAATGTGATAGCTGTGGACCAAAAACAGTATCACTATAGGGCAGCCCCATCAGTGCAGCATATCAGTACCTATCAGTGCAGCATATCAGTTCCCATCAGTGCAGCCCCATCAGTGCAGCATATCAGTGCCCATCAGAGTCGCCTATCAGTGCAGCCTCATCAGTGCTTCTTCATCAGTGCCCATCAGTGCCACCACATTAGTGCCCATCAGTGCTGCCTCATCAGTGCAGCATATCAGTTTCCATCAGTGTGCAGCCTCATCAGTGCTTCTTCATCAGTGCCCATCAGTCTGCCTCATCACTGCAGCCTATCAGTACCCATCAGTACAGCCTCACCAGCGCATATCAGTGAAGCCTTTCAGTACCCATCAGTGCAGCCCCATAAGTGTAGCATATCAGTTCCCATCAGCGCAGCCTCATCAGTACTTCTTCATCAGTGCCCATCAGTGCCACCACATCGGTGCCCATGAGTGCAGTCTCATCAGTGTCCATCAATGCAGCCTCATCAGTGCCTATCAGTACAGCCTATCAGTGCTCATCAGTACAGCCTCACCAGTGCACATCAGTATAGCCTCATCAGTGCAGCCTATCAGTGCCCATCAGTGCAGCCTCATCAGTGTGCATCAGCAGAGAAGAAAAAATTACTTATTTGCAAACTTGTACAACAGAAACAAAGAAAACTTTTTTTTCAAAATGTTTGATCTTTTTTTTTAAGCAAAAAATATAAACCCAGTGGTGATTAAATACCACCAAAAGAAAGCTTTATTTGCGTGGAAAAAAATGATAAAAAAATCATATGGATACAGTGTTGCATGACCGCGCAATTATCATTCAACGTGCGACAGCCCTGAAAACTGAAGATTGGCCTGGGCAGGAAGGGGGTAAAGTGCCCTGTATTGAGGTGGTTAATGTGCATTAAAAAAAATACAGCATGTTGCATTTTATGAATATAAATGTACTGGAACGCAGATAAACACACATGTGAAGCTGCACACTGCAGTTTAAATACGCCCTATTTGTGGTGGTTGCATTGGTTTTCTTTTTTTCGCCATTTTGTTTCCACCTGGTGATCCAGTCAGTAACACACTTCCTGTTTATGGGTGTGTTCAGTATGTAACAGGGGCGGACTGACAACTCATGGGGCCCTTGGGCAATAGGGGATCATGGGGCCCCTGTGTCCTTGCCCAAACTCAAAAAAGCCTATGAAAAAGGTATCAGGGGCATCTCATGGGGCCCCCTACTGACCCCGGGCCCTCGGACAGTGCCCGAGTACCCAAATGGTCAGTCCGCCCCTGGTATGGAAGGAGGCGCAATGCAGACACCCCTGAAGAGCAGTATTGTCAGTCTGGGGAGAGGGTAGTGTAAAGCTCACTAAACACATTGCAGTCTGATTGTACAATCAAAGGTAGATCTACCGACAACTATGTAGGGCAAGACTCTGTCTGATTGGACACAAATTGGTTAGATTATCCTCATATTACATAGTTGTGGTCAGGGACGGACTGACAACTCATGGGGCCCCCAGGCAATAGGGGATCATGGGGCCCCTTTGTCCTTGCCCAAACTCAAAAAAGCCTATGAAAAAGGTACCAGGGGCATCTCATGGGGCCCCCTACTGACCCTGGGCCCTTGGGCAGTGCCCGAGTTTCTAAATGGTCAGTCCGCCCCTGGTTGTGGTAGATTTAAGGCTGATTGTATAGACATGGTATGGACAGATTGTAACATGTATGATGACCCTTAAGCTGGCCATACATGGATGGAAATTTTGATCCAAGCATGGGCTAGCCGACTGTACACAAGTTGATCAATCAATTAACTGTACAACCAGCCTGTTGTGTTTTTCCAGAACGATCTATGGCTGGCAGCTCTGATCATTGTATTCTGCCAGTGGGAAAGGCTCCACATTGTCAGAAGAGCACAGCAGGAGTGATTCCCTCATCCACTTCAAATCTTTTTTTTTTCTTTCAAACCCTTAGTTGAGCTGAAAAAAACAATCAATCATGTATGGCCTGCCTTAGATACAGTAACAGATTTAGGTGGACTTGACTAAAAAATGAAAGCTGAAATCCAGATAAATATGGCCATACACTACACAATTTGATTGTACAATCTCTGTACAATATCTTTTACCAGCACTAATGTGTGGACACACTTAACCAATTCATTCAAATAGCATCCTATCAAGCAGACCCCTGCACCACATAGCTGATGATAGATATAAAGGAGATTCTACAATCAGATTGTATAGTGTATGGATAGCCTAAAAACTTTTTTTTTTTTTTTTTTACAGCAATAGTGTTTTTTCCTTGTGGGATACGGTTTTATAAAAATGAATACAAGCTGATCATTGTAAGCACCCCTGTCAGTGGGAAATGGTGTGTCTCATCCCTTAACTGACACTCTAGCTGGACAGCTTAGTCTGTTAAACGAAGTTGAGAAATAACAGACTTACTAACTGGATCACCAGATGAGTAATAAAAAAAAACTAAAAACATCCAAGAAGTAAGCTGCAATAAATTTTTGTTTTTTGGTTTTATAGTCACTATACACATTAAAATCTGCCCATACAATCTCTGTACAATCAACCTTAAATCTACCACGATGATGTAATATGAGGACCTACCTAAACAATCCAATCGTTTTGTATCCAATCAGGCAGTCCCTTGTATGACATTGTTATGGTAGATTTAAGGGCTCACTGGCCATACACTATACAATCTGCTTGTACAATCTCCTTTAGCCGCTTCCCGACCGCCCTATAGCAGAACTACTGCTACAGGGCGACAGGGCTGCGCAAAATCACATATAATTATATGTATGTGTGTGATTTTGTATTTCTGGGTAGGGGTAGTGTGCGCACTCTACCCACTCCGCCATTGGCAGCTTCAACTGTCGATCATCAGGTCTCAGCCAGTGATTCCCCACCGGCACCCGACAATCACTGAGTATCACTGACGGGGGAGAGGTCTGTATGTAAACAACACAGATCTCTCCCCCTTTAGCTCCAGCATGCTGCTTTGTATGGCTCTGCCTAGCAGAGCCATACAAAGCAGTGTGCTTACAGTGGAAAACATACACAGTACACAGTGAAACAGCACACAGTTAACCCTTTGATTGCCCCAGATATTAACCCCTTCCTGCCCAGTGCCATTAGTACAGTGTCAGTGCTTTTTATTAGCACTGATCACCTATTGCGCTATCCTGATGATATCGTGGAGTAACGCGTAGAGCGCAGTGATGTACTTCTGGTTAAACATTTCCGGCAGACGCCATCATTGAACACCCAGCACCTTGCAGTACACCCACAGCACATGGGAGACCAGCTGTATGAGATCTGCTATACTGTGAGTGTTCTCTTTTGGCTTGTTTTTATCTGCTATATGGAATAAACGGCATTTCACTATGGAGGCTCTCTTCATCTACCTCTCTATGGCCTTGTGATTATCCCGGGGGTATTACCATCTGAGGGCATAAGTGAACTGGCAGAGGAGATCGAGTGGTACTACAGGAGTATTATTACAGAGATCCCCAGTCTGGTGGAGCTATATTACCTAAAGCATTGTGGCCCTTAGGGGTCGCATGGTTAAGGTGAGGAGGCACTTTAGCCATTTTTGGATTACGATATACACGTGTGGCATGCTAACACGCATCATGTTTGGAGTGGAGAATTGAAGCACTGACATCGCAGTGTTTATTTGCACATGAAATGTCAAGCACTTTGTTATTGCACTGTATTGTGGATTTTACTTTTTACCATTATTTATACTCCTACTGAGCACCTGTCACTTTCAGTTAGAATGTGCAATGTTATTGTGTATTATTTCACTGTGCATATATTGTATTTTGGCACGATTTAGTCAGCAAACGCATGACCTGTTTTGCACTTTATTGTGGATTTTACTTTAACCAATATTCATACTCCTACTAAGCACTTTTTACTTTCAGTTAGAGTGTGCAATGTTGTTGTGTATTATGTATACTGTGCATATATTGCATTTTGGCACGGTCTAGTCAGCAAACGCATGACCTGTTTTGCACTTTATTGTGGATTTTACTTTTAACCTATATTCATACCCATACTGAGCACGTTCCACTTTCAGTTAGAGTGTGTAATGTTATTGTGTATTATGTTTACTGTGCATATATTTTATTTTGGCACGATCTAGTCAGCAAACGCATGACCTCTTTTGCACTCCCAGCACTTTGCACTTATATATTTTTTTGGGGGGATTGTTTAGCATTAGTTATCAATACCTTTCAATACAGTGTGGTCACTTTATATGTATTTTTATATCATTGCACCTACTTATTTAGTTTTTCATGTGAAGCGCTTCACCAATATTGTTTTTTTAAGCCACATTTTTAGCACCCCCATAAGCTTCAAAGGCAGCGAATTGGGCATTTACATGTCGCTGTCCCAATGCTTTGCTTTGTGCCCATATAAAACTATCACTCCCCCACTACATGGTTGTGGAATGTGGACGTGGCACTTACCTGGTTAAAACAGCTAGAGAGGAGGTGTCACATTGCCTGCTTACTGCCTATCAAACGCCTCTAAAAAGTAATCCGAACGCAGATCACTTTTCAGTGGTGTAGTGGTTTAGATGCAAGTCTAAATGTAGCCTAACCACTTGCCCTCTAAAGGATTTACCCCCCTTCATGACCAGGTCATTTTTTTGCGATACGGCACTGCGTTATTTTACTTGACATTTTCAATGCTGCACCCAAATTACATTTTTGTCCCTTTCTCCCCCAAGAATTGAGATTTCTTTTGGTGGTATTTGATCACCTGTGCGTTTTCTTACTTTTTGCACTATAAACAAAAAAAGACTGACAATTTTGAAAAAAAAAAACCACCTATATTTTTGACTTTTTGCTATAAAACATGCCCAGTAAAATTAAAAAAAAAAAATCAAATTTCATCATAAATTTAGAACAAAATGTATTCTGCTACATGTCTTTGCTTAAAAAAATCCCAATATGTGTACATTCATTGGTTTTCATGAAAGTTATAGCGTCTACAAATGACAGTATAGATACTGGAATTTCAAGTTATTTTTTTTATACTAGTAATGGCGGCAATCAGCGACTTATAGCGGGACTGCGGCGGGCATTCTGACACTGGGGGGAACTGACTTGGTGTCACTGACATCCCCAGTGACACCAATACAGTGATCAGTGCTAATAATAAGCACTGACACGGCACTGGGCAGGAAGGGGTTAACATCTGTGGCGATCAAAGGGTTACCTGTGTGCTGTTTCACTGTACATTGTGTGTGCTTTCCACTGTAAGCACACTGCTTTGTATGGCTCTGGCAGAGCCATACAAAGCAGCATGCTGGAGCTGAAGGGCGAGAGATCTGTGTTGTTTACATACAGACCTCTCCCCCGTCAGTGATACTCGGTGATTGTCGGGTGCCGGCGGGGAATCACTGGCCCGAGACATGATGATCGACAGCTGAAGCTGCCAATGGCGGAGTGGGTAGGGTGCGCGCCAGGGGCGGACTGACCATTTGGGAACTCAGGCACTGCCCGAGGGCCCTTGGTCAGTAGGGGGCCCCATGAGATGCTCCTGGTACCTTTTTCATAGGCTTTTTTTGGGTGTGGGTGAGGACACAGGGGCCCCATGATCCCCTATTGCCCGGGGGCCCCATGAGTTGTCAGTCCGCCCAGAAATACCAGAAATACAAAATCACACACATACATATATATATATATATATATTTGTGATTTTGTGCAGCCCTGCCACCCTGTAGCAGTAGTTCTGCTATAGGGTGGCCGGGAAGCGACTAAAGGAGATTGTACAAGCAGATTGTATAGTGTATGGCCAGCTTAATACGGCTTTAACTAATAAGTGATTTTACTGCTTACTCATCAGCTATGGCAAATTCTAAAGTCCGCAGAGCAACAACGCTACAGATAATGACCTCAGTCACTTTGGGGGCATTTGAATAATTGTTCCCAACTTCTAAGTGAGAATATCAAAGCAGCCAAGCCCAAGGCTTCCTCTGAATGAAGACAGCTCCTTGTGATATAAGCAAACACAAATAAGGATGACAAGGATGTGTTGTGATATTAGTAATTGACTGGACTTGGACATGATCTAGATTGCTACTTGGAGTATGTAGGTCCCCAGCATCTGATTAATGACCTCAATTGAACATCTGTCACGCTGGAGTCAATTATTTCTCAAGTGCATCCTATTGTTGGAGGATTATGAAGCTTCATTTCTCATGTCTCTGCCTCTGTAGGGCTAATGATCTGTTGTCCAAACTCCAGAGCATCAATAATTGTTCTGATGGCTTCATTAACTCCAGGTCCTGCCTACAGTCCACTGCTAATATGCCTAAGACATGGCAAGTCCATAGAGCAGCCTGCGAGGAAGGACATCTGTGATTACATTTATTCATGTGAACATTAGAAATGGTTGATGGATTGTCTGAAAATAAGGGTCGATCTTGTATAGAAGTGATCTCCTGTGTGGGGTGATCCTGGTCCAGGACAATACAAGTCCTAGAGCTGGACAGGAGATGGTGTTCTGCTGCAAGTTTACTTATTAATGAGATTGCACAGAGTGTGCTGCAGAACAGATGGCTGAGCCCTGCCTGGGCAGCATCACATAAACGTTCCAGCAGATCCATGCTGTATCCTTCCAGATTTGATAGATTTCCCAGAATCCTAGCATATAGGTCCCAGGGTGGTAATGAGCTGGTATGGGAGCTTAGGGACGCCTGCCCACCTGCCACCATCTGCTGAGCCCCAACATGCACAATATAAATAGTGGACACAATAGTCAACCATTGAGGTGTTCAGTCCAGTGCTGGGATCACAGCATAAACCACGCTACTGCCTGTGTTAGAGACATCGCTGACTGTGCCAGAGACATCTATACCAGGGGCATCTATACTACCTATATGATGTTCTAGAAGTTCACAGCTACCTTTGGAGATATCCCAGGACTGCTGGAGACATGAAATCTGATGCATCATCTCCTCCTATGGATCCCACTTCTGGGTGCCAGGGACAGTCCAAGGGGGCATCGAGGTGCCTACTGAGGTGTATGCCAACCAGAGTGGAAGGGTCAACTAAGAGGAGGCTGGCAGCCAATGCCAGGGAAAGGAGGAGGATGCAAGGACTTAACACAGCGTTTGACAGTCTGAGAAAAGTGGTCCCTCAATGGGGAGAGGACAAGAAGCTGTCCAAATACGAGACCCTACAGATGGCACTGAGTTACATCATGGCACTAAACAGGATCCTAACAGAGGCAGAGAGATACAGGGACGGAGGGGACTGGTCTGCTACCCATCACTATGAACACTTTCATCAGGACTGTCAGAGCTACCTGGAACTGGCTTCTCCAAATGACTGTGATCACCTCATTTCACAGACCTTTCCCCACTAGGGAAGGTGGCAGGAACTGTCCATGTACTCAACAGGACTGGTACATTACCTGCACCCCTCTATATGCAGTGCTTCCTATAGAGACTGTTAGGAAGATCAGATATGATCAAGTGTGATCTATAGACTATAGAAACTGAATATATCTAATATAGACCTCTGGTTGAGAATATCGATGCTTTGGGTTATTGTAACATTTATCTTTGCAAGATAACAATCAGTGTAGCATTCTGTGTTGGGACAGAAGGTGTTTATGGGTTAATTCTTCTTATTTCTGGCTTAATTCTTATTATTGCTGGGTTAATTCTTCTTATAACTGTGATCACTTCATTTCACAGACCATTCCCTAATGGGGAAGCTGTCAGGATGTTCTATGTATTAAATAGGACTGGTACAACACCTGCACCCCTCTGTTCTAAGAATATAGATGATAGGAGCTGATTTATAAATGTAGGTCACATGCAATAGAATGTATCTATTATAGATCATTGGTTGAGAATATTGATTCTTTTGATGATTGAAATATTTATGTTTGCAGGGTAACAATCATCATTGTAGCATTCTGTGTTGGGATGGAAAATATTTCTGTGTCAGTTCTTCTGATGACTGTGATGACTTTACTGTACAAACATTTTCCTACTTGGGAGGGTGTCAGGACTTTCCATTTACTCAACAGGACTATTACAACACCTGCACCTCTCTATATGAAGAATATAATTGATGGGGGCTGATTTATAAATGTAGGTCACATGCAATAGAATGTATCTATTATAGATCATTGGTTGAGAATATTGATTCTTTTGATGATTGAAACATTTATGTTTGCAGGGTAACAATCATCATTGTAGCATTCTGTGTTGGGATGGAATGTATTTCTGTGTCAGTTCTTCTGATGACTGTGATGACTTTACTGCACAAACCTTTTCCTACTTGGGAGGGTGTCAGGACTTTCCATATACGCAACAGGACTGGCAAAATACCTGCACCTCTCTATATGAAGAATATAAATGATGGGGGCTGATTTATAGACTATTACATTACATGACAATGTATCAGGGGTGGACTGACCATTTGAAAACTCGGGCACTGCCCGAGGGCCCGGGGTCAGTAGGGGGCCCCATGAGATGCCCCTGGTACCTTTTTCATAGGCTTTTTTGAGTTTTGATCCCCTATTGCCCAGGGACCCCATGAGTTGTCAGTCCGCCCCATAATGTATATATCTATTATAGACCTAGATTATTGGTTGAGAATAATCATGCTTTGGGTTATTGTAACATTTATCTTTGAAGCATAACAATCATTGTAGCATTCTGTTTTTGGACAGAAGGTATTTATGGGTTAATTCTTCATTTGATTACATAGACCTTTTCCTACTAGGAAAGGTGTCAGAACTTCCCATGTACTCAACAGAACTGATATAACACCTGCACCCCTCTATATAAAGAATATAACTGATGGGGGGGGGGGGATTTTATATACTATCAAATCACATGAGATTGAATATATCTATTATGGACCATTGGTTGAGAATATTAATGCTTTGGATTAATGTAACAGTTACCTTTGCAGTATAACAATCATTGTGCATTATGTGTTAAGACAAAAGTATTTCTGGGTTAATTCTTCTTATTGTGATCATTTAATTACACAGACCTTTTCCTACCAGAGAGGGTTTCAGGACTGTCCATGTACTCAGCAGGACTGATATAACACCACCAGCCCTCTATATAAAGAATATAAATAATGGGTACTGATTAATAGGCTATTACATCAGATGTATCTGTTATAGGCCATTGGTTGAGGATGTTGATGCTTTGAGTTATTGTAACATTTATCTTTGCAAGATAACAATCAATGTAACATTCTGTGCTGGGACGGAAGGCACTGTATTTCTGGGATAATCCTTCTCATTGCACTGACATGTAGCCATGTCCAGCCTGTTACTTCAGTCACAGAGAGTTAGATGAAATGTAGCGTTTGCTGGTGAAGAAAGGATTTCAGTTTGTAATTGCATAATAAAAGAAGTGCTTTATAGAATGGAAGAAAATAAAGGTGTCATTATAGTTCATACTTTGGTATCTATTAGCCATTAAAGAAAAGTTTTCTTTTTTTAAAAAGCACTTGTCAGAATTATTTATGTTACTAAGGCAGCCCATACACTGATAGTACAATTTCCTTTCGATTTCCCATCACCTGTAGTACAAGAGCCTACCTACGACTGATTGAATGGATTGTTTAGGTTTGTCCCCATATCGGGGGTGTATTTACCACAAGGCACTTGCCTAGTGCAGCATTTTTCAGGGGGGCAGCACCTCCCCTCAGAAGAAGGGATGAAAGAAGGGACATGCGTGCCATGAGAACTAGGTGGGATCTGAGAGAGGCTGTGGGTTGCTTGATGGTGTATGTAGAGCCTGACTCTCGTTCCCAGGGATGTCTGGAGCTGTGAAGATGAGTGTCTTTCTATCGCCGAGGGGGGTAGTGGAAGGCTGTCCCAGTTGGGGGCAGGGGTGTTGGTCAGTGTCCATGGCCCTATGTATGAATGGACACTAAAAGAAGCGGCTCAGGAGCGAGCCTGCTTCGGTGCCCCCATAGCAAACTGCTTGCTCTGAGGGCACTTGGCAGGAGGATGAAGCCAGTGCCACTAGCAGAAGACCAGAAAAGAGCAGGATTGGGTCTGCTCTGTGCAAAACCACTGCACAGAGTAGGTAAGTATTACATGTTTTTTATTTTCTTTTTATAATGATGCCTTTAATATCACTTTAAGAGGCGTAGTTC